CTCAGGTGTGATTTTATTAACTTGGCATGTTTTTGCTCTTCAATGGATACATTTTGGCTGACGAACCACTCTGTAAATTATTCTCTTGAAATATCCCACATTTCATACCCATTTGTCGTTCAATGCTTTTGGGAGTTCCACATTTCCACTTTCACTTCAAAAAGTGGTAAATCCAGTTGCTTGATAAATTCGACCTAGCTCCATTGATCCATTGAACTTAATCTCGTTATTAACAATGCTCAGCACAAACTTCTCAGAATGACTTCATCATTGGAGCCAGCTTTATCTCCTCTGGTTTGTTTTTCCGTCAGTACTTGCTAACTTCCCTGCAAGTGGCGCACTTGGTCGCCTTAGACTTTTTGTCCTTTTGGGACAAGTTGGAGTTATCTCTATTCGAAAACGACTTGCAGCCTTGGAATTCCGGCTGTTAGTCCTCATAAAGAAACCTAATTTCACAAATAACAGCCGCCTCGGCCAATTCTCTGGTATATTTTTTAAAACTTAAAGCAAGCAACCTGGAATTGGTCCGTTTATATTCGTCAAAAACGTGTATATCCTAAACCTAGACTTAACAACCTCCGAGGCCCCACAAAGCTGTGCCACCTCTGGCCGGTGGTAGTATAGTGATCGCGGTGACGAACAAACTGGTTTGAGCAAGAAAGGTGGTTCCTTAGATCTCTCTTAGCTTCGAGATAGCATTATAAAATAACTTTGTGGGCGCCAAGAATTTAGTGACTAACTGATGTCTCCCAGGTATCCTCTACCTATATTCTTAATTGCGTCTAATGAAATCAGCTCGTTACCAGCGGCTCAACCATATTCCCTTCTTAAAAAATGCATTCCTTCCTCTGGGAGCCTCCAGGCCTTTCAGTGAGTCCGATAAGCAGCTGATTTCTTACTCGGATAACTTCCTTTGTGTTTTTCAACGAGTGGAGCTGTCAGGACCCGAGCACCTATCTCATTTCAGCTGTTGACTCTTCGTTAGCTTGGATTGGAATTTGCCTGTTGTCATTAGTCGCCATTTCCTATCTACTTCAATGCGAACCTGCGCATTGCCCTTTGTGGCTCAGCTTCGAAATGTCCACACTTAGCTTCCACGTCCAACCCGTTTGAATCGGAGGATTGTAACACAGTATCCCCTCATCACCACACATCTTCCATTCTACCAGGAAACTTTCAAAACCTTATTCATAATCCCAATATGCCTATGAATTCATAAACGCCACATTGGATCAGCAGATGCCTTACTTAGTCCCAATCGTAATAGGCTTTTTCGACACAGGACAGCGCTTCTATGCCTTGCAGTATCAACATAACTCATGACACGAGTCATTTTTTGACTGTTAAACACCACAAATAAGTATGCATGGAGCATCTTCACCGTCAGCAGCTCGACTTTAAACAAGTTTTTCGTTAATTGATTCATCTCAGCATAACCAGTCACTTAATTTTTAGATTTTTCAAGGGTTAGAAGATGGCATTTCGATTCACAACGAAGCTTATGTCCCTACTTTAAGAGTGGTGCTTAGCCTACATTGTCAGTTTACTGAGACAGGGACAATATCCATAGTGTGCTTTATTTATGCGCTTATTTTGTTTCATTGGTTCTATGGCAAAAAATCCGGCCTCAGCTTTCCTAGCCCATTCCTCTGGACCTTCTGGAAAATTTATGCCGCGGTGTAAAAATACTAGTGCTAACAAAAAATCAGACGGTGCGCACACATTCAAGATTCTGTAATTGGACAAGCATGTTGCTAGTGTTGGCATACAAGATTTTTTAACAAGGCTTCTTGAGCAGTAAAGAAAACCTCTATTCTTGGATTCGATGTTACAAAAAACTTTAACAGTTAGGCGTGACTCGTCTGCGAATCTACATTTCTTCCTTATTAATTGGACTGGAGTTCTGTTTAACGTGGACTAGCGGTTTTGAGGCGACGGGTTCCCGATAAGGGTGGGTATTCACATTAACATACTAAAGGGATGTCTGAAGTAGATAAGTATGAAATTCGGTAGAGGCAACAAGACTTAAAATTATTTGATAATAAGCGAAGTAACAAATCACTTTAAGCCCAGCATAGATCATATCCTGAACGGGTTATCTTTGACAAATAATGTTATCAAGCATTTATTTAGCGCAATAGAAAAAAATTCGTTTAATCCACCTTTATTTACATAACACAGAATAGTGAAACGAAAACGAAAATTAAAGTGCTAACAAGTAGCCAACTTAAGAAAACAGAAAAAATAAAATAACCTAACTAGAATACATAAAACAAATTTTTTTTTAATTTATCCGATGTTTGATGTAAATTATTCCTCGAAAACTCTGGAGAGCAGAGCACGAAAGAGATCAGATTGTGCTCTTAGTATGGTAGAAAAATCTTCGATTCTATCATCTGAAAACAATTAGATGAGACATGTTAAGTAATGTTATGTTGTTGGGGGTATGCCAAAAATGCAGTTGCTATGAGTAGGGATTTATAGCAGCGACTAGTATCAGTAGCCTTTTTAACGAGGTAATTATTGCAAGGGACATAGACGCAGAAAAAAACGTCACCAGCATAAGATACATAGCCCTATAAACTCAGAAATATGCTTCAAGATAAGTTATATTCATTTTACGATGTATCCATACACCTTTTATTACATCTAATGTGGAGCTTAAATCTGAAAGTAAAAAGTTTTTAAGGCGAATTTTGCATGCGACTCACTTAAAAAGGTTTAAACGCAATTCTGACATTCGGCATCGGCATAGCTGTCTTCCATTTTATTAATTTATGTGCGATAAGTCTGGTGGGAGGCCTGAAAGCAAAATTATTTCATATATAACTCTGTGAGTTGTTCCGATTTCTAAAATCTTATTGGAACAAGAATATGGTGAGGATTTCAACAACTAATCTGGAGATGTTTGCATACTTATCATCAAATGAGGACAGTAGACAAATAATACAGATCAAATCAAATATGGAAACCCATTATTTCATCCAAAGGAGAAACACTTTTACGGTTGTGTGTGAGCGAGAAGCAAACACCAGAACTAGGACATCCTACAAGCCAGTTAGGGAATGGGCTAGGAAATCTTGAATTTATTAACTTTAAAAAATAACTCATTATTATTTGTATACAAGTCACAATCAATCAGGAAGTTGATTAACTATGCAAATGTTTTCAAAATGTGGGTAGCTACCTATTTCGTCGGTCTCGTACAAATCAACAATAACGTCACGAAAGGAACGAGCCAACTGATCCAGAAATTGGCGTCTATCCAATGCTCTAGCCGATTGACAGACAATGCCAACGAGGTGTAGGAGCTCATCGAGGTTTGCACGGACCTTAACCTATGATATGGTTGAAAAACAGAAAGCCAAGTTGAGAGTTAACTTCCAAATTGATAATGTTAGAAATGAAAATAATATGTAGCATAAAAGGCAATAATGGGTTTCTATAGTTTCAAAATGATAATTATAGGTCGGTGAGCTAGTTAGTACATAAACTTTAAGCCGCTGTTTATAAGGCAGCTGTCAAAGTAAAGAAATAAATCGATCACTTGATATGGGTATTCCCAATTATCAATACTGAAATAACTAGGGTTACTAAGGTGACTTGAGTTCTTCCTAAAGCAATCAGTCAGGCAACATCAGTAACGGAGGGATTTCGAGTAATAGGGAGTGAAGCTAGTAGAATAATGTCACTTCTCATTTTAAAGGAAAGTTAGCTGGAAGGAAGTCGTGAAATAGCCTCACTGAAAATGGAAGGAAGATTGCCGCGGATTGTAGGCAGATGAATTGTGCGAAGAAGTCTTCGGCTCATCGTCCTGTGGCCCCAATGAACCGAGGCTAATCTTTCGTCTGCCATGTCACAGACCTCATCAGAGCAAAAAACTATACTTTACGCATCAAGCACAACAGGCCAAAAAATAGGGATGGCGATGACAGTAAGCCGATAACTTCGCACAAGCCAACAGCTTTCTATCTGAAGCAATCCCCCGTTTTTTTTCTTTGAGACCATTTCACGAGTTCAATACAACTAACTTTTCTTTCGAAATAGAAATTCATGTCACAAAAATCACTAATGAATTCTTCGAAGCCCAGTTTTTGTTCATATTACCATACTTGTTGTGAGGCAGTGATTAGATGTAATAATGGATATATGCCAGATATTATATACCTTAGTATACGTCGAAATAGCAAGATCAAACATCGGCCTTATTGGGGAAGGAAATGACTGTGACTACGTTCGCTTCTTTTTTATCTATCAATTCTACCCATCTGCAAGAACGTGGAGTAACTAACCAAATAATGAGATACCACATTAGGATAGCAAAGTTAGATATAAGAAGTACGGTTAGTCGCCCACAATTTGCTTGGCCAGGTAATTAGTAGTGGCGAAATTTATTTCTATATCACACAGCCACGGGTACCGTTGAATGACAGCGAAGAAGCGACGCTCAAAACCTAAGTATGTATACGGAGTT